AAGATATGCAGCACTAGGTGGGACAAAAATAGGTGCGAATAGGGGCTGAACAGAAAAGTGGTCAGGGGGAGTGCTTTCACTTGTCACTTTGATAAGTTGTAACAATGTGCTGATGATGACATCTCTCAATGACGATGCTGGCGAAACGTTTGGAAATGTACCGAATCAATGATCCGATGCTGGACATCGCGAATACTATGACAGAGAAGACAGGACCAGGTACATTCCACAAGGTCCTCCTGACGCTCCGAATCAGTTGTGAAAACGAAGTCGAACCAACACTACAAAGCTAAAGGAGATTGCGACAAACCAAAGCCAATACAATTTTGGTCTTTATCTCTATTAGCTAGTTGGCTTAAAGGAATAAACCCTCAGAACATGGTCATGCATTGCAGGGCTTAATGCCTTATAGTGCTTCAAATGTCAAAAATCATAATACTAGACGACTCCAAAAAAGATAGAAACCAAGTCTGTTTTTAACAAAAAACAAGTGAAGATGTTATGCATCAAGAAGGAGTGTATAAACAGAACTAGCGAAATATGATCATGGCTCAAGCTATAATTCGTCGTTAGACCTTGATGTGTCAGTTTTTAAATAAATAAATGCATACAAATATCACATGAAGAAGTAAAGAAAACGGGTTTTAAGTCAAGTTTCGGAAATAAACAATGAAATTCAAAAATTAGTCTACCCAAGCCCCAATTATTGATGCTGTATCCTCTTTTACTATTGTGTCAAATTCTACTAACTAGCTGTCTATAAATTCCTTAACATGACTATAAGTGAGGATTTTTGACAAGAATGACCATAAAGGTATACTAGGACGCCTATGATAGTCTAACCGAGGACGGTTCTCAAAATAGTATCTCCCTGAATGAAAAGTGCGAAGACATGATCAAACCTTGATTTCTAGGGTAGAATTTTATAAAGATTATATAATATGCGGTTAAATCAAGGAAAAAGAGCCTACTCTGGACGTAAAAACGAAGTTGCTTGACCCCTGTCAGGAGCGGTCCCATTTCCTGCTGGGGATGAGTTGTTCAGTTGTCCAGGCAGCAAAGTTGCAGAAAATGGACTAGTACAAACGAGGGCTGAGAGACGAGATCGCTTGCTGGCACGCAAAAGGCGGTCACGAGATATGAGGCTGCGAAGCGGAGCAATGAAGCGGCACGGCCGATCTGAATCCCCGCCAGCAGGCAGTCGTAGTTTGGGTGGAGATTCGAGTAGAATTTCTTCATTTGGCTGAAAAGAATGCACGTAAAAAGCGTTGCTAACTATTTGGTTACCACATTTCCCCGCTATACTAACTATATGCATATCTTTTATGCCTAAATTCTGCCCTTTGTGTTGCATCTAATAATGCTTGCTGAGCTTTGCTTTCTAGATCTGCATCTAAAGTCCAAGTCACGCTAGAATTTTTCATTTTTATGGCTTTTCACAACTTTAAAATGGGCCTTAATTCGTCAATTAAAATTGCCATAAGAAATAACTCACACATGAGACACCAAGGAATTGCAATTAATTAGACGTGACCAAGTATGAAAGCTCTTCAATGACCCTAAATCTATTAACAGCCAAGAGATCACAAGACTGGTTAGTGAGCCTGAACTTGAAAAAAACTGGCCACTCGATATTTTGAGAGTATGTTGGAAGTAAATCCTGAGCGGAATGGCATAGCTGTTCAAGTCAAAAATAGGAGACTAATATTATATATCGTTTTGAGTAGGTTTTCGTGGCTACCATTAAATCAGATCTATGAGTTATGTTCATCCTATTTCGTGTAAAGTAATGAAGGACTGGTAGTTGAATTTTGCCACAATGATGAGTAAAGCTGTCGTTTCCATTGGATTTCGCATAGTATTGTGGTAATGTGGCGTAGTGGTTACCGCGTTGAGATTACACGGCACACTATCATTGCTCGAGTCCCGCTGGGGATATAGATAAGCCCTACGCTAGGTCAAAATTGCAGTCCACCCTGGATGAGAACAACTTTTGGGAAAGCAAGACTATGTGAAATCAAATGGAAACGTCAGCTCTATTAATATCACTGTGGGAAAATCCAACTATTAGCCATTAATCACCTTGAACAAAATATGGTGAACATAACTCATAGACTAATATTAAAAATGTCAAAAACGCCTTACAAGCAGCTTAGGATAGAGAATAAGACAGGCTAGAGGGGATTTGACTGAAGCATTCGAATCTGTCTAGGAATAACGCTGTGCCGAAATTATAGTTGTCCACTAAGTCCATTGGCTAGATTCTAAGCTAATCAGTTGTCATAGTTATTATTGGCATCAAAAGTGAATGCTTAAACTCCATACTCCTAACAATATTAAAAGTTAAAATGAACAACGGATATGCATATAGTTCTCATAATAAACTTCATCATGGAACAAAGAGCATGGTGGCCACGCATGTAGCTTAAGATACATTCGAGATAGTAAGGATTAATAGGCTAATTATAAACAAAACTGGATTATGCGTTGGAATAGCCCGGATGACGAAATAGCTCACCAAAGAGGTTTTGGACTCTAACTCAAGGCCAGCTCGCTGACGCAAGCTACGCAAAGGTCGTGAGTTCCTTGTCCATTTCGTGACCAGTGAAATGCGTGGCTGGTTCTGTGGACCCAATGGTGTGACTTCCACCTCATCCGCGAGTCTAGTAGATGAAGGCACCGGAGCCTGGAGAGTGTTTAGTAGAGTTGCACGTCGGAAGGAAACAGAAACAGGGCCTCGGTCAGTAAGAGTAGACGGGTTATGAGCAGGGCTAGTTGTGGAATGACATACAGACGAGGCTGTCTCGATAGAAGGCGTCAGAGACGGAGTAAGGTGCATGTTCGACTGAGAAATTAAGGAACCAGGGCCGAAGCGACGTCTAATCAGAGTCCCACCGGCAAAGTCCCGAGGATCCTGGGGACTGCCGCCACCGCCAATAATACATACAGAATTCTTGGCACCTGAACGCATGGGAGAATCAGATCGCCGGGCTCGACGGCTATCAGCAGAGGTCGGGTGACGAAAAACGAGCCGAGCCTCGCGTTGCCGTGCCACTAAGTCCTGACGCATCTGGTTCCAACGTGACCAGCCAGGGCTAGGATTGTTGGAGCGCCGGCCAACAGAAAGAAGACTGTTGGATCGACACCCCCCAGGTCTGTTTCGTCGAAGCATCGACACAAGTGCAGTGAACTTGTAACGAGCAAGCAGACGCCGACTAGAGGCCGAGGTAGAAGAGACAGAAAATGCCGATCTTCGTACAGGAGTATCCAAGGAGGAACGAGACTCAAGCCTGCGACTAGCCAGCCGAGGAGGAACACTGAAGCTATGGGCTCTTCGCAAATTCTTAGAAGGCGCATTCGAAAGGTTTGTGGGACTTGTAGCGCTGATCGTGACAGCACTATGGCAGGTATTAAGATCTAGTGTCGACGCCTTAGACTATATTAAATAGAATAAAAAGTTACAAGTAATGAGAAGTTAAAGCAACTAATTATGACAGACCTGTCCAAGATTAGTTGAGTAAAGATGTAAAAACCAAAGAAAGTATTGCAGTAAAATAGTAGAAATTCATAATCATTTGCCGCTCCGAAAAGAACTCATAAAATGGAAATTAGCTGTGTGACCAATAAAATACAAACTCAATGAATTTTCGGCAGTAACAAATTGAGAAAAACGAGAAGATAGCAAAGCAACTCAAATTTTAAAAATATAATGAAGATTATAGGCCCAAATTGATCACCCTAGGCGTCGTTAATACTGTGAAAATGCATAATACGTTGCTTAAACAAAAAACATATATAGTTAGGATCCAGAGCAGCATGAAGGCTTAGCAAATTCCAACTATCGAATACTATAATTAATCGGCACATATAGTGTATAGCCCGCCGGTTAAAAGTTATAAATCTGTCGTAGTTCGTAGAATAACCATTGTTAAACAGGTCAAGAACAGATGGGAAAGATTTAGGTCACAATAAACACTAAAAAGGCAAAGGCGGCAACTGAGCGAATACTCCAGATGATTCTTAACCTCAGGTCCAGATTGATAGGATTATATTTCTGTGATTCAGAGTGCATAAGTTAAAGAACTACCTTCTTGGACGAGAGGCTATGCTTCAGTCGGCTAAACAAAGAAGAGGATCGTGATCTTTCTCCACGAGAGCCATCAGGACTCTCTAATCGACTAGCCCCAGTACGCCGAAGTCGCGAACGTCCGAGGCGGGTTCTAGCACGCTTCTCTTCAGCACGTCCGGACGAGGCAGTATCACCGTCTTCTGGGCCACTAGCAACACTGGTGGTCAGACTGAATGTGCTGCCACGAGTTAGTCGTATAGAGTTCAAGATGGGTGGAGGAAGAGTATTGGTATATTCCGAAGGATCATTTAACTTTGGATCGACCTGGAGATAGAGAATAATGATGAAGGAATGAAGCATTTCGCATAAGTTGTTGGAAAATGAATCTACTGAACTAGATTAAGAACAGTACTTTAAAAAATATATAAATGTGGATTTTAATAAATAATTCGCAATATATGAAAACTAAATCATAGCTATTAGTAACTCGCTGCTCAATCTAGCAAAAATGTATAGACTAACGTGGCAAACGACCTTATGGGTTTTCATCATCGAGAGTCCATCGACCGACAAAACAGATTGGGTGTCCTCTGGAGGAAGGCTAGTGGTAGGTACATTATAGAGGACATTCTCCTATATGGAAAGGAAAAATAAGCATTATGAAGAAAATTCGATAGGAACAATAAATATACTTACATGGGAGGTCTTAATAAGCGTTCGAGACTGAGCACGTCGTGTTGGGGGAAGTGGAGGAAGAGATGAGGTAGCACTTGATGGCACCATTGGTGCAGGAGCAATTTGGGGCAAAGGAGGGCGTTGCAGAACGGTCTTAATGCCCCTTCTGCGTGTGTTTTGTGCAGAAATACTCTTATCCTCTGAAAATTAATAATCGGCATTAAAAATTTACCTTGATATGGAGGATCATTTGGTGTAAGCATGGGCTGAGTACATTGAGAAAGAGCAAACAAGGAATCTGAATCATCTCCCATGTTTGTA